CCGTTTCTGTTTGTGTTCTTCGCGGGCTACTGCATTGCTTTGTGAGTTGCCTCCATCTCCCGCTTGTCTCCTCCGTCCCTTCCACCCAGCTTCTTCAATTCTGGACTAATACGTGATGGGTAAAGAACCCCCTTCCTAACCGCCTACCCCTGCGAAATCTGGCCGTACCGCCTCCGCTCCCGCGGCCTGACGGTGACGTGGTGCGCCACCATCGTGGCCATGTTCTTTAACACCTTTGTCAATCCCATTGCGCTGGATGCGATCGAATGGCGCTACTATATTGTGTTCATCGCGGTGCTGGTGGTGTTCGGCGTCACGGCGTATCTCTGGTACCCGGAGACCAAAGGGTATTCGCTGGAGGAGATTGCAGTGATCTTTGATGGGCCGGGGGCGGGAATTAGGGGTGCGGTGGGTGGTGCGGGTGCTAAGGCTGATGGGCAGGGGGGGAAGGGAGAGGAGGTTGTGCATGCGGAGGATGTTTAGTTGTCTGAGGTGTAGTCTGAATGTTTATTGTTCTGTTCCCACTCCGGTGGGGGTAATGCGGCCCCGCTATGGGTCCCACAAGCAGTGAGTCGGCGATCACGCCGTAGGGTCTATCGGGTGTGGAGGACAGTACACTACAGATCCTCGAAGATAAGCATCTCGTGGTGTGCAAGACACTACATCTACATATACTCAGAGACAAGCATCGGATATGCAGTATGATGCCGAGTAACGTATGCTTTTCTGCAAGTAGTATATACAATCCAATCCCAAGTCTAACGTCCAACCTCTAATCTCATCTAATCTATCAATGCAACCCAACCCACCCACCAGGGGCAGCCTACCAAATCGCCGCGACCAGCGCATCCAGCGCCGAGCTCTGCGTCGAGGCATTCACCGTCGCCGCGTCCACCGGGCCCGACCAATCGACCCCGAACCCCGTGGCGTCGGTACGATCATTCGCCCACAGACTCGCGGCGGAGGCATTGATGACCCTCGCGTAGGTCTCATTCGGCGCGACGCCCTGCAAGACCTTGAGGTTGCGGACAAAAATGCCCTTGAACTGCGTCTCGTTCGAATCACAGGCATCCGGCTCGCACGACTCGTGGATGACCCCGTCCTCGTCCGCGAGGGCGGCGATCGCGCCCTGCGCAATCCTGCCCGCGGCCGCCAGGTACGTGGAATTGGCGGCGGGGCTGCCGGTCGCGCGGTGCAGCTCGACCAACCCCCCCAGGATCACCCCCTGGTTGTACGTCCACACGGTCATCCCGTTGTTGGTGCACGCCGCCGTCAGCCCGTCGTTGATCGTGTGGTTCGCGTTGATCAGCCCGCTGCTCGCGAACCACGCCCACTGCCGCTCCGCCCAGTCCAGGTAGTACTGCCGGCTGCTGGTGGTGGCCACCCGGTTGGCCAGCGAGGCGCCGAGGGCGAGGAAGAGCTCGTTGCTGATCGCCCCCACGTACACGTGCGTGTAGTCCGAGTCCAGGCCGCCGTTGCCGCAGAGCGAGGGCCATGCGCGGCTCTACCGTGCGTTAGCATGCAGTTCCCCAGCCTAAGCTCCCACTTCTACCACTTCTACCACTCTACCAACTGAGTGACTGAGTCACTGAGCCGGGGAAAGGGCTTCCGCGGCAGTCGGGGGGTAAGGGGAGGATACGTACGAGATGGTAAAACACCCCCTCCGCCAGATCCAGGTAGTCACTGACACCAGTGACATCGTACGCCGCCACCCACGCCATCCCCCACCACATGTCGTCGTCGTAGCTGCCGTCCAGCCACAGCGACGCGTTGGCCGCCCCCGTCGGCTGGCCCGCGATCGTGTACGCCGTCCCGTTGGCCGCCGTGTAGTCGGCGTCGATGCCGCGCGCCGGGTACGGGTTCGTGTTCGTCGCCACCCGGAAGGTGTTCTCGATCACCCCGGTGGCGATCGTCGCGTTGACCGTGCTGTTTTTGGTGGCTAGGTTGGCGAGCGTCGTCAGGCAGTTCGCCCCGTTCCACCACCCGCAGGTGTTCCAGATGCCGGTCGTCGGGTTGTAGTACGTTTGGAGGGTGGTCAGCGCCGTCACGGCGCGGGTCATGGCGGTGTGGTTGGTTGCGCTGGCTGTGCCTGTGGCTAGGAGGGCTAGGGCCAGGGTTTTCGGTGTTGAGGTGTGCATTTTGGGGGAAGAGAGGGGAGAAGAGGGGAGCAGTAGGAGGAGAAGGAGGAGTAGGAGGAGTAGGAGGAGTAGGAGGAGGAGTAGGGCAAGAGGGGAGGGTGAGACTCTGCATCTTCAATCCCAGGCAGATCGCTCTTTATCTATCGCGGCGACAGTCACAAATCATACCCATCGCGTCTCCACTGCAGAAAAAAATTCTACGTATGCAGCCCCCCGACATCCAAGATCCAGAGATCACATCGACCGATCACATCCCCCATCCACGGTCTGTCCTGCAAGGAGGCAGAAAAACCCGCAATTCCCAACGCGCCACCCCAAACTGATAAGATAGGCCAGCCCGGTTTACCGGTTTACCGGGGCTACGTAGGGCGATGCGTAGGCGTAGGCGTAGGCGTGTAGTGTAGGCGCTTGGCAGGCACTGTACGGAGTCCTGCAAACCCTGTTCCTTGTTCCTTGCATGAGGGCCTGCATTAGTGGTGGCTGGGGCCTGGATCCTGGATCCCGGCCAGGCACCTCCGCCGAACTTTTGGCGCCGGGCGTTGCATCTCTGGTTCGTCGATTTTTTTTTGTGCTGGTCTGCCAGTCCCCTGTCGTTCGTGCCTATCCGCCCTGGATCGACTCATGGGTCAGTGAACTCTGTCCGGGCTGGTTTTTGGGGCTCGGGAAGAAAACTTCCGTGTTGTTTTGGTTCCGACAGGGAAGAAGTTTTCTGCTGACTTTCGTCCACTCGGACTTGGTCTTTGGGAGCCAATCAGCGCGAGGCTGGCTGCGTGGCTGGAATTTGAGACGACGGTGTGTCTACGTTGGCTGTTGCCCTGTTGCTATGTTGACCTCGACGCTGACTTCATCTGTCATGTTGCCCGTTGGACTGCCTTGAAACAGACCAAGCATCCAATTCCGGGGGCGGGGAATTCAGGGTTTCCGTCTTGTTTTAGTCGCATTCTTAATTGCGTAGCGTATCGTAGTCTTGCTGCAGTGGAGCCCTAAGTTGAGTGATGGTTGGGCCGATCGCGGAGCGGAGTTTACCCGGCTGAGTCAGCGGCGCCCGCTCACCGCTGCTCCACTCGGCAGTTGTTGCACTGGCGAATTCTACGGACTCACAGGTACTCGTACTTGTAGAAGAGTTTGATCTTGCTTGAACGGTAGACTCGAACCGGGGTTCACATTGAGGTGGTTGAGGTCACGTTACTGCGTGACCTCTGCCCTAAGAATGTCTCACTTCCCCGTGGATGTCTCCGATCTGCCGCCGACCGAGCCCCGATTTTCAGCCCGACCGCCATCGCCAGCCATCCAACTTATCGGTCCTCCGCGCTGTCGCATCGTCAGGGTTCAGAATTCAGCGCGGGAGATAGTGAAGCATTAGACAATCAGCCCAGCATTGTGACACCCACATGCGTTTACTCAAGACATAGTGTGTCACCTTGTTCCTCTTGAATGCCACCGCCGCACCGCATTCACCACTCCTTGGCGCGGCGATCGCTGTCCATCGAGCTGGATGCATCACAATGCAGCTGAGACAGGGCCGATGGGCCGCAAGGATCAAGCCGGAGCCCACCACTGGTGGACTCGATGGGTCTGTCGTTGTGATTGTCTGTCTGCTGTAGCCTGTGAGTCTCTCGATAAGGAATCCTGCACGGTACCTCCGAAGCGGGTGGCTGCACGGGAAAGCCCTAATTCCGTCCGTCGTCGATCGGGCCTGGCTGGCAGGAGAAGGACCCGATTTCACTGAGTAAACCACCATTGACGATTGGTAGAAGTTTGTGGGGAGGAAGAATGACCAGTAGTGTTTCCGTGGCTGTCTATCATCCTAAGGAGCACGACTCCATGCCTGTCGGAGGTTTTCAGACTCTCACCGCATCCTGCAAGGGAGGGAAAGGGACATAGCATCGTCCAACCGGAGATCTTCCTCCTTTCCCCTCGCCGTTTACCCCTCATCCATCCATTCTGCTGCAGGCGATATCCCTTGTCGCTTCCATTCTCTCTGACCGACTATTCGATGATTCATCCATCATTCGTCGTCGACACGAATGGATCCGGAGGTGCAGACACAGTCCGAACTAAACCCACCTGCCGTTCCCCATATAAGCATTCGAGGACTCAACCCCCCAATCGAGAATTTACCTCTGGAATCCTATCTACGCTCCTGCGAGAGACACCTCACCCGGCGACGTCCCCCGCACAGAACTAGCACTCGAGCCACAGTCCCCATCCTTCCCCTTCTCCGTCAACCGGACCAGCGAAATTCCTGTGTTAGTGTTGGGAAGCTCATCAAAGCTCGACGGAGTCAATCTACCTCGTCGGTTCGTTCGGACATGGAGACGGCCATAGGGTGCAATCGGGACTGTGGATGTCTGTCACTGCGGGTCAGTAGTCGGGAAGGCCAGTCCCTTATATCACCACCACACTTGAATAGGGGAATGGTTGGTGTGTGATCGAACAAAGAACAAGGATTGAATATTGCCAATCTCTCGGCCTCGACGGTGTCTACCGGATCGCATGCTCGTGCTGACAGGATTCCATCCATGCCCGAGGCCGATGGGCTGAGCATGCAGCTACTGGACAGCTCTAAAACGCACACTAGTCCGTAGTCTGGACACTAGCCTAAGCTAGTTGAGCTAGCAATGCAATGGAGGCCTTTAGTGATGCTCCCCCGGTCGTTTTGGCTTGTATGGAGTATAGTGCCACTATAGTGCCACTACTGTACTCCGTAGGGCTCCGGCGCATCACCGGTTCCACCGGCGAGATCCTAATCAGCTAGCGAGAGACTAGCTATCGCAACGCGTCGCTATCGGAAGCAAGTCCCCAGCTCTTTCGTCGAAATCTGAAATCTTCCTTCACTTCTGTCTATACCTCAGATTCAACATGCCCTTCCTCCAAGCCATCGTGCTGGCCCTGGCCACCACAACCCTCGTCCATGCGCACAGCCACCGCACTCTCGGGGCCGACTATTGCACCCCGCCGCGCCCGCCTGCCCCGCCGTCGCCCTGGGCTACCCCCTCCCGCTGACCGAATACCCCTTCGACACCGTGCGCGCCATGGAGAACCTGCTGCTGACCGGCCAGCGCGCCCGCTTCCCGTCCGTCACCCTGATCTTCGCGCACGGCGGCGGCGCAATGCCCTACCTGGCCACGCGGATCGCCGGCCTCGCCTCGATGGAGTTCATGGGCGGGCGGAGCGTGGCGGACTCGGTTGCCCAGCTGGCCGGGTATTACTTCGAGACGGCCTCGGCCACGTCCGCGGTGCAGCTGGCGGCGCTGAAGAGCTTTCTGGGGGCGGGGAGGATCCTCACCGGGACGGATTGTATGTTCCCCTTCTTTTGTTTCTTCTTTCTTCGTTCTTCTCTATTGGGGATGTGCATATGTTGACAAGTTGCATGGCAGATCCGTATGTCCCGAGTGACCAGATTGCGGCGACGTTGCCGACGATCCAGACGAATGGGGGGTTTGATGCGTCTGAGATGATGGGGATTCATGCGGGCAATGCGTTGCGGTTGTTTCCGCGTGTGGCGGCGGTGTTGGGGGTGTGGTGATGCGCTGGGGTTGGTGCTGGTGGTTGGGAGAGGTGTATAGTGGAGCGGGTTCATCTGTGTATAAAATCCTGAAGCTAGTTTAATGGTAGGTGGTGGGCTTTCATTGCTGCATGTGTCTTCTCGATGCATAGCCAGCACAGTCCGGCTACGGGGCTACTCGCTAAGCGAAGGTAGGTGAGTGGTTGTGAGGGTATCTTTGGTGATACTCTCACTGCTGCAGCTACGGCCCGATACGACTGCAGAGATTGGGGGTAGCAAGGTTATATTCGTAGGTGCTTGTCTGATTACCTCCGAGGCTCTGTACCCGTTTTGCATTCAGTGTTGCGTTCAACTAGCTGTGTAATTGAAGAGTATCGCCTCTAACCACAGACCCACCAACAAGCCTCAACCCTACCAGTCTCCAAAACTCTTCCACCTCTGCGCTCCAGCAACAGCATGAATCACGCAGCCCCCTCCCGTACCCTAACAACAACCTTCCCCCTCGCCCGCTTACTCTCCATCCTCTCGTACGCCTACAAGCAGTCAGCACATCACCCCCATCATCACCCCCACCCCAAACAAAAAAACATACCTGAAGCACCTCCCCCCACCCCCACACCGAATCCACCACCACCCGCACCACCCCCGCCTCCACCAACCGCATCACCCGCCCCATATCCTCCGCCCGCGGCCGCCCGCTATAGAAGCGATACCCGCGGGGCACGCCCCCGAGCACGACCGGCCAGAACCGGCACGCCACCTGCTCCCACGCCCACGCCATCTGGCCCCAGAACCCCGGGGCGGCGTTCATCTGTCCCAGGTTGATGAACGGTTTGTCTTCGGCGAGGTAGGCGGCGCAGTGGTGGTAGAGGGTTGTGTCGCCGATGCAGTCGATGATTGCGTCGAAGGGGCGGGGGTCCGCTCTCGGTGAGGGGGCAGAGGAGGAGTGGTGCGCGCGGAGATACGCGTGCAGCGGAGCGTGCGCGACGTAGTCGATGACCTCGTCGACGCCGAGCGAGGCGAGGAGGTCCGCGTTGCGCGACGAGCACGTCGCCACGATCGTCCCGGTTGGGCCGAGGATGTGCCGTGCGATCTGGATTGTGAGCATGCCCACGCTTGTGCTGCCGCCGTTCACGAGCAGCTTGTCCCCGGCGATTAGGCGGGTGAGGTCTAGGGTTTGGATGGCGGTGCAGCCGCAGCCGGTGAGGCCGGAGGATTCTTGCGGTGATAGTGGTTCTGCTTTTGGTGGAGGTGAAGGTGAGGGGGAAGGTGGCGGTGGAGTCGTGGGGTGGGATTGGGATTGGGATTGGGGTAGGGCTGAGGGCGAGGGCGAGGGCGAGGGCGAGGGCGAGGGCTGTAGCGGGAGGGGGCATCCGGCCAGCGCGATGACCTGGCTAGCGGGCGCAATCAACCGCTCGGCCAGCGCGCCCTTCCCTGTTCCGAAGACTTCCTGCTCCGAGACGCAGCCCGCGACTCGCGTGGAGGGGGTTAGTTCCGGTCGGGTGGTGGCGACCTGCGACCCCGTGGCGAGGATGCGGCCGCTGAACTCGAACTCGGGGACGGCGATGCGGCGTCGGAAAGGGAGGCCGAGAGAGAAGGGCTGCGGAGGCAGGGCGCGCATCATGGCTGTACAGATGGCGTTCAGCGAGACGTAGTCGACTTCGATGAGGAGGTCATTGGCGCCGAGGGAGGAGGCCGTGGGCGCGGGGAAGGTGGTTGTCGGTGTCAGGGTTGTTGAGGGCAGGCCTGACTGGGTGTATACCCATGCACGCATGGTGGAAGTCATTCTTGAAGGTGATTAGGAGTTGGATGAAGGTGATGGAGTGGTGTTGTATTATTTGAGGGGAAAATGAGATGTCAGATGTCAGATCGGGGGGGTGCAATGCCGAACTCCGTGCGGCGCTAAGCTGCAGCAGCAGAAGCAAACGTTAGCTGGCTGCTTGTTGTTTAGTCTGTGAGTGTGTGCTCCCTCTCTCTGCTAAACAAATTTGTTCCGGGGTTGATTGAACCCTCACTCGCCGAATGTCACCGAAGGAAGGGTAAACTCGCCGATTGCGCAGTTCAGCCTCAGTGGGTTCAGTCTTGTTGGTGCTCAAGCTAAAATAGCCAAGCTTTTCACCTTCACGCCACACTCATCCAGACAATGCGACCGCTTGATCTCGACCATACGCAAGCCTATTTTCATCAACTGCCTATCTGCGCGCAGTATGCTTTGCGGCTACCTTCACATCAATCCTATATTGCCACCCTAATGATGAAGGTTAGGACAACCAGACAGCTAAGGCAGAACATACCCCCCGTCAATCAGCAAATCACTCCCCGTCATATACGTCGACGCATCGCTCGCCAGATACAGGTACAGCCCCTTGATCTCCTTCACGTTCCCCTGCCGCCCCAGCACCGCCATCCGGTACGCCTCCTGCACGCAGTCCTCCCCAGCCCCCATTTTCGTGTCGAAAAACCCCGGTGACACGATGTTGACCCGCGCGAAGTCCCGCCACTCGCGGGCCAGCGACTTGCCGAAATGCGTGACAAACGCCTTGGTCGCGTTGTACACCGGTTGGTCCACCGGCACGTTTACGATGTGCGCGCTCATGCTCGAGGTGATGATCAGGTTGCCGAACCCTTGGTGCTTGAACATGTCACCGACAAATTTGGAGCAGTAGACCACTCCGTCCACTGCGGGTGTTAGTCGAGGAAAAATGCCCTTGGTGGGGATACGTACCGTTCACGGACATCTGCTTCCTGTACTCGTCTAGTGTCTGCTCGAGAATAGGCTTGGAAATTGCCATTCCTGAGCACTGTTAGCAGTTTGCCTCTTTTTTCCGCCTCGAAGCCATACCCGCATTGGCGACGAAGACGTCAATCTTTCCAAAGTCACGAATCACATCCGACAACGCGGCGTGGATTTTCTCCGGATCAGACACTACAACCGGTCAGTCTTGCTCCTCAATACAGTTCAACGAAACCGACCATCAACTTGATACGCGACCGCCTTGATCCCGTGGTCTCGCGCCAGAACCTCTGCTTTTTCTACCGCAACGTTGTTGCTGCCACAAAGGTGAGAAACAAGCCAACACCTCTGAAACGGGAACTCACGAGTTGTACCACAACGCAACGTGTCCCTTGGCCTCGGCCATCGCTTCCGCCACCGCATACCCAATCCCATCGGCGGCGCCCGTCACAACGACCACCTTGCCCGCCATCTGGAACTGCTCGAGCACGTTGTTGGGGGTCCCCGGGAACGGGCGCGGAAAGCCCTCCCGGGGTTGATTGCTGTCTACCACGGTCATAGACATTTTGCGTATGCGTGAGGTAGAGGTGGATGTTCCGCCGGAGAGGTGCTGGATGTGTCGTGATATATGTGTGGGGTATCGCCGGACATGCTCCGAGTCCACGGTCGGGTAAATCCCCGTCGGCTAATTGTCGCGCCCGGGCCGTCGTACTCCGGTCGCATGGGAAATTGTGACATCGTAGTGGATGTTTTGAATGATTGAAAACTGATTCAGGGAAGGTCAGTAGAATTTAGTAAGAAAGTGTTCTTGTTGTGCACACGGTTGGGTGGCATCTTCGGTCGGCATTGGTGAGGATCCGTGTGAGGGGCTCTTAACAAGATATAGAGAATCAGATGCGAGTTGAGCCGCCCCACGATGTGAAAGGAATTGAAAGGTGCATGAGATCTGATAATGTAAAAGAAATGGCTCCTGAGACAAGAGCCCTTGGTATGTCAGGTTTCGTTGACGATCCTCAAAATGATCACGGTGACTATGAAGTTATTGAGCATTAGAGGGCAGATGAACTGGTAAGATAATGTCAGATCTTGGTTGACGTGTCGGGTCAACTTAAGAAGACAGAAATCCTTGTAGTGCAGGTTCAGGTCGTGGTTTGCATACTAGGAGGATTCCGATTGGACAGTCGCCAACTATAATCAAGGTCGCTAGCCCAGGATGCTCACAGTATACCTGACTTGTCACCGGGAAGAATAAAGTGTCTGTGATTGGCAAGAATTCGTGTAGGAACGACTACTAAGATCGTTCCAAGGACAAGTACCGAACAACAGTCTGAACCCCACGTCACCGATTGACCGGAGTCATGATCCTCAGATCGCCAGGTTTGCTGCACGAAGATGTCATTGCGGGATTTAAGCTGTCGGGGGGGTGCCCTGGCCTGGTTCAGTGGCCGCCTCATCCACGTATCGGCAAGGGGCCGGCCAGAAACTCTATCCCATGTGATAGGCTTTTGCCAATCTTGGAAATGTTGGTCAGTGCTCTTGTCATGCCTTGCCATGCGGCCAAAGGATGTTACCACGAGTCAAGGATAGAGCGTATAAAACAAGCGACCTGCATTGGCGTTTTTGTTGCAACGTTCAGCTTGGAAGCATTCAAAGTAGTTGAACAGGCTGAACCGCACGTTCCACCTAGTCACTATGTTCTATAAAGTCAGTCTTGATTTCTGGTGAACCTACATCGACACCGTGCAATTTCGGCATACTGACCGTATGGCTGCAAAAGACCAAAGTTTGCGATGGCCTGCTTACTGGCCACCCACGACCGATCTTCGAGGCTCTCATCCCTCCTTCACGAGGGTGACGTGTGACCAGATCATGGACGAGGTGCTCGCTATTCTCCCAAGTGTAGACGAGAGCAACGCATCACGAATCCGAGCGATGAGCTTACCCGCCATTGTAGCCTTTATGGTTCCGCATTCCACCAGCCATGACCGAATGGTCGTACTTTGCAAATGGCTGACTTGTTTGCTGCTCTTTGATAACCTCTTTGAATATCCATGGTTCAGCCAGGGAGAGACACTGCACATGGGACGAGGGCTTGACAGCCTACCGCGTGACTTGAGACTGCTTGCCACTGACGGCCAACTAGCCAGCGACAACTATATTCAATCCCAGTCTGCGCGGTATATTCGCGGAGTTCTCGCTGAAATGTTTCGCCTCAGTCCGAGAAAGGAGCAGTTCCTCCGTGCGGCCGACTATTTAGAAAGGTGAGTCTCTTCTCCTGGCCATAGCCCGCAGCGCTAAGCAGTGACAGAGCCATCATGGCCATGCACGCAAGGGAGCACGGTTCAAGCAAGGCCTCAGACGACCTGGAGCAATGGAAGCAATCTCGCGTTGATAGCACGGGCATGTTCATGCTGTTTCACTGGATGGAGTTTGCGCTCGATCTTCAGATCCCCGATAGCGTCTGGGATGATCCGACCATGCAGCTCCTGGTGGACGAGGCTTGTCTTCAGATTGGCGTTGTCAACGACCTGTATTCCCTGCCCAAGCATATTTTCATGAACGACGGTCGGGTAGACACCGAAAGTATGAACTGTGTGGCGTGGCTTATGCGAGGGACGGGCGAGAGTCTGCAGGAGGCCGTCGATCGGTGCTGGGACTACATCCATCATCTGGATGATTCGGTTGGTTAGTTACGTGCAAGCATGATAGAGGAAAGGGTAGCTGACAGACAATATCTTCTAGTACACGCTGCGATAGTTGTGAAGAGTCGATTTAGACAGGACAAGGCGATCTCCCAAATCGTGGACGCAATCGTTTATTCCCTCCAGGGGTCGTGGGCCTATGGAATCACGTCGTCACAGGCCTGCCTCAAGTCGCGGTACACCCGTCAGCCTGCACTGCTGTCTGGGAGCTTCAAAGTTGCGGCATGTGATGAAAAGCAACAGCCTCTTGTCGTAAATACTGAGGTGAACGATGAGAGAGACTCAGCTAGACCGGATGTTGAGCAATCTTGATGTCTTGTTCGTTGTGGCTAAGGCAACCAACACACACGGCATGAATTGAGGCTTTGAGGGACACAACACAGAAGATTGCATGATATTTGTGTGGGAAGCAAAACATTCACTTGTTGATGGGATCATGTGACAGGGACATGTTTGGTTGTTTGTAGTAGACTCTCTTAGCTCCCAGCTCCCTACACAACACAACAGACTCACTCCATTCACTCAGACCCAGACCTTCGAGTGGTCACGCAACTCTGTCATCTTCTTGTCATCTTTCTCTATCTTCTTTCTCCTTCCTCTCGCTCCCTCATCCTCTTCCCATAACACTATTTCGAGCAACACCATCACCACGCATCCTCAGATTCCATCCTTCTACGAGCAACATCTATAACACCCCAGTCATGGCTAGAGGCCGTAAAACCAGCAAGCTACCTAGGTCCAGGGATGACCACGGAGCTGAACACGGAGTGACTCACGAAGAAAAGCAGGACACTCAGTCCGACTCGAACGCTCCCGCCGGTTCTCCGACAGGTCCTGATGGTGATGACATGGACCTCGACGCTGGCGATGAACCGCAAAAGGTGGATGGCAAAACAAAGCATCAGGCAAAGCATGGGGAACAGGCTGGAGTGGCTCCTGAGATAAGGATCGAAGCTGAACGGCGATCGGACCCTCAGACCAACCCAGACGAAGACTCCGACATTGAGGAGCTTCCCTGGAAGGAACCCCAAGCCCGGCCTATCCTCAGATTCCCCCAGTGGTCCGAGTATGCTACAGAAGAGCAGCTAAAGCAGTACAACGAGAGGAAGAAGAAGGAGGCAAGCGAGAAAGCGAAACGCAACTCAAACAAGCACAAGAAAGGCAGCGCACAACGCACGGTTGACGTTCCAGAGGAACGCGCAGTTGTCAGCGCAGAGATCAACGCCCTGCTAACTCAGACCCAAGACGACATGATCGAGATCGATCACCCCGGGTGCATTCAGGAAAGCCTCATCACAGCAGGTCTCTCTCAACTGGGCGCTGGACCATCCATGCCTTCATTCTGGGGAAACCACCCGGTCAAGCTCGCTCTGCTCAAGCCCCTTGCGAACAGTGAGACTCTCGCTGACTGCACCAATCGCAGAACCGACTTCTGCACAGATCATAGCGAGCTCGGCCAGATGTGTCTTGATATTCAGCCTTTGGGCAGAGCCTGGAGACAGGAGCTGCTGAAGGTCCCACCCATGTCGGCTCTGATCTTTGACCTCACTATCCCGTCCATCAAGTACAACGGGAAGGGCAAGGCGAGGGCCAAGAACACTGACGAGACCGAGCCGCAGCTGGCCTGGGGAGACCGCGATAGACCCTGTCTCGTTGTCTCGATGCGCGAGGTGATTCACATTGTGACTACCATCGCGACTTCGATGAAGATCCGCGGCAAGAATTCCACGCGTTTCGTCCTGATGTACGACCCGTCCCAGCTTATTCGCCTGGACGAGATCAATGAATTGAAGGAGAAACTGCGTGTACTGAGTTGTTGAGTTCCGGCTCGCTCTTGCAGCGCACCCACCCGAACTCACTGTCCGGATCTATGACTACGCTCTCCGATGGATAGGGTTTCTGTTCAAAGGAATCTTGGTGCAAGTTGATCGTTGATCATGGCTTTTCATTTGTCTGCTCTGAACCTGACTGTATTTACGGAAACATGTTGTACTAGATTGGCCTCTTGTTATTCTTGCATATTATCGTTTCAAAATGATACTCTGACAAAATTATATCTCAGCTGTATGACCTTGAGCTTTGTAACTTGGCGTCGGGAAGTCGGGGTTCTCTACATATATCTGTCGGACACACTACTACTCCGTTTAACCATCGTCGAATCAAGCCTCAATCCCTAGACACCCGGTCCGGTCCCTGTAACCCGGTCAGATAACAGCTCCGTGAGATGCCAACTCATACTTTGTGATGATTTCTTTCAAATCAAATTCCATGACCACAGCCCTCAACCCCCAGCCTCTTACGCATGTTCACGTGATCATACATTCTGCCGTCCCAGACAAAGAGTCGCGTGAGCCAGAATGGGAAGGCGGCGTCTATACCAGCTTTAACCTCGAACTGTTGACCTCTTGTTTTATCGACACAACATTCTTCCTTGATCCCCCCTATGTTATGTCTTCCACTGGGATACGTCAAAGAGTTCGATAATTCACGCGAGCTATCGACTATTCATTCTATCTTGGCTGACTGCTTAGTCGATATCCTATCGAACCTGTCAAGTATCTATCACCATCGATCCAGCGTCAGCTCGGTTTACAACTACCCCTCCAGCCTAGCTACCGTAAGGTCTCCGCGAATACCTCAGTTCTCGAAACAACTCCACCAGATTATGGTGTCCACGTAGGGCCGCAAAGTCCTGAAAGGTTGTCCACTGCAAGTCGTTGAAGCGACTGAGGGCACCATGCTCCAACAAGATCCGCACGATATGCTCGTGACCGGCATCCGCGGTGGTGTGAAGCGGTTGCCAGTATTTGCTGTCTGCGGCCCGGATCTCACATCCGTTCTTGATAAGTAATCGCACCGTTTCCTCGTTCCCTTTCCTACAAGCATGATGGAGCGGTGTTTGGCCGCTTTGTGTTCGGCCGTTGACTTGGGCTCCATACTTTAGACACAACTCAACACATTTGGCGTTTCCTGCCAGAGCGCCGAAGTGGATCGGCTGCCATTCATCGATGTGCGATCGGGCGTGGATATCTGCTCCCGCTTCCAGAAGTGCTTGCGCGACCTTGTAGGACTCGGCGTGAAGGGCTTGCTGAAGAAGGGTCCGACCGATGGAGTCTCGCGAGTCGATTCCAATTCCTCTAGATTTGATAAGGTGGTTGACTGCATTGAGATTGTCTTGCTGTATGGCCGCTAACAATTCAGCGTCATCAGAGACACTCGAGCCGGAAACAGCGTGAGTTCGATGGCTCAGAAGCTCTTCCGTCCTTCGCGAACCACCCCATTGTGACTCCAGCAACGGTGTTCGTTTGGCTTTGTTCAAATGCAGCAGTTGCTGTGCCGAATGTTCCAGCAGGCAGTTCACTATCGCTGGGTGCCCTTCCCGCGCTGCAATATGCAGGGGAAGGTTACCCTTGGAGTCACCGATCATAACATCAGCACCGTGCTGCAAGAGAACCCTTGCAGTTGAGACGTGTCCGCCTTGACAAGCCCGGTGCAATGCGGTCTTCCCATCAAGACTTTGATGATGGAGATTCGCCCCGTGCTGCAACAGCGACTCCACGGCATCAGTCTGTCCGCTGGATGATGCGCCAAGAAGCGGTGTCCACAAATCATGGGTGACTGCCTCCAAAGGGGCTTGTTCTTTTATCAGAAACTCGATGATGTGTATATGACCTCTTCCTGCTGCCCGATGTAAGGCAGTCAATCTGCGTGCGGATTTGCTCGAGACTGAACTTCCTCGGCGGACCAACAACACCACAATCTCGAAGAATCCCATATCCGCCGCTTTGTGCAAAGCGATCCAACCATCCCTTGCAATCTGACCAGGCGGTGCGCCGTTGTCCAGGAGAACCGTGACCAAGTCCAGGTTTCCAGTGCCAACAGCTAGAAAAAGCGCGGTGTCACGCTTAGGAGTTACATGAGAGACATTGGCACCGAGCTTGATCAACTCGAGGGCTGTGTTTGGATGATTGCGCGCACAGGCATGATGCAGAGGGCTCTGAGACCCAGTGTCAAAACACTCAACGTCATGACCGGATTCTGCCATATGATGCACAAGCTCCGTAAGCCCAAAACCAGAGGCTATATGCAGCCCACGGATGCGTTTGTTCTCGGCGAAGAGGAACTTTAGCCGTGGCTGGTCATTGAAAAGACGCATGGCCAGATACACATACTCTTCCAAAGGCACCAATGCAGCATGCAAGCCCCAGCAGTCCTTCGCATATCCAACGAGAATGAAGATCTCGTCCGCACTCGAGTTCAAACCATGCTTTTCAGATTTGCCTGAAGCGGGCATGTTTCGTTGTGATATGTCAGTGGAGGCCCTCTTCGAAATGCCTTTGCACCTGACCTCGCCTTGGTCTTCAGGTGCAGCCTTCACTCCCTCTAGCAAAAGGTATTGCAGGCACGTCTGAGTGATGACTGTATGGGCTCTGACATACCAGTCCGGCTGGGTACTCTGAAGATACTGTTGCAAGGTATGATGCACCAACCGTACTTGTGCGTGGTCCTCCATTCCGTCCACCGAGAGTAACCCGCAGCAGCTACTAATTATGAGTCTGAGAGGGGATAGCTTGTCCCGATCCCAAGACTCATCATCGGTCGCCAAAGCGTGTCGCAACTCCAGTGCACTGAGTGGGCGGTACGCGCAAGCCACCCAGCGCAAGGCACGGAGCGCGAGATCTTTTCGGGCCGCAGACTGGTGGGACAACGCATCAAAGGACTTGTCATACGCGTCACCCAAATCGCTACTCAGCGTCTTCAAGCTTTTCCGGATACCAGTTCGACTGATCTGATCGCGAATGTTCTGAAGATGAAGGACTGCCAACAGAAACCTGTGTGCTCATTAGCAGTTGTGGGTCAAAGGGAGGCATAGCATTATGCTCCTACATTCCGCCTGCTTGGCTGACAATCGTGTTGCATATCTCTTCTTCGAGCTGCTGATCTAAGAGGTCCACCATCATGTCGTCGGACTTTAGAACATACAAAACATGCGATCGGACGTCTTCGCTGTCCGCCGCATATTCTAGTACAAGACTGTTTCCTGCGGGAAAGGGTTCAGGTCTCGATCGACTAGTCACAAAGACCCGTGCCCCATTTTGAGCAAGCTTATCCAGGAGGCGGATCAGATGTCTTGTTTGCGTCATATCTGCGGGGCTAAACTCGTCCAGTGCATCGATCAGAACAAAGGGAGATTTGAACAAACTGCAAATCTCATTCATGATGACCTCAAGCTCCGTGACAACGGGCTGCCGGTTCTCTCGCCGGCACTTGTCGTATAATGCATCGAGGGATTGTGGAAGACTGTTCAAAAGCCCAGCAAAAGTCTTGATCATGCACCCAAGCACGAGCACCATTGGCTGCGACGTCCGCATTCGATAGTCGCAATAATAATACGCGGCAGCAGCATCGGGTCCGGTGTGTGAGCGTTTGATCTCATCAATAACAAACGACCTGTGCCATATCAGCAAGCCAGTACATCCTACACAATGTCTGTTATGATTACATCAACGTCGACTTTCCAGTGCCTGGCCCGCCAATACACCACAGAATATCTGTTGAGGAATCGGTTTCAAGCCATAGTCGAAATTGGGATTGAGCGAAGATCCATCTGCCCGTTCCGGGCGTTCGACGTCCTTGGATCTCATGATGGCGTCCTGGTCCTTGGCCGCGCGTGAGCCATTCGAGGATCTCGATTTGCCGCTCGTCTTGCCCGAGGTTAGAACTGTGACCAATCACACTGAAAGCTAACTTCGTCGACCTGTCGCCCCTACCACATCAGTGCCTCTAATAGTGTAGCACTGGGTGGCCTTGCGACCAAGCTTGAGCGACGGTACACTAAGGTCATGTGCCAATCATTGCGATTCCAGTGTCAGCTGTTTCCTAGCAGCAGACAAAGATCGACAACGCTCACTATGATCACGGAAGCTAGAGAGTTCTGTTATATCTTGGAATCACCGTCATACAACTCAAATGAGCTAGGCATGCCCCTGCCTACAGCGTGGTCCACAATCGACCGACCATTTTTCACCACGGGCAAAGGCATGAAGAGGCGTGGTAGGAGCGACAAATACCGGAACAAGCAACCTGATAAAGATCTTTGCTCACCTGTTATGCCGCGACTAATTTCCTTCACACGCTCTTCGATCTCCGTCAGTTGCCCGACTGCTTTCGCGAATTTGGACACGTTCTCCAACAACGAGACTAATTCTTTTGTCTTGTCCTGGTATATCTTGACTGACTCTACGGATAACGACGCTGCTTCAGCAATTTTATGCATCCTCTCCGACATCTGCATTTGGAGCTGCAGGATCGTGGTCACCTCTGCGGGAGTCTGCGAGAGTAGAGCCCTTTGATGGTCAGTGGGCGAGAGCGAAAGTGTCAGGACGTGCGTTGCCTACCACCCTTCGACAGTCAACGAGAAATTGAACAGCTGGTTGCATTGCCGGACCCGTGCAATGATGCTTTCGACCTTTTCCTTCTCGAGGTGCCATAAAAGCTTCTTTGTCAACCCGACCGGTTTTCTGAGCATGCGGATCAGCTCGAGCAGAGACTTTTCGCACGATTTGATGGTTTGCAGAAGCACAGCTTCGGTCGTCTGAAATCGGTCGCTCGTCATGCAGGACGAATCGAGGAATGTGTACATCCGATCCAAGACCTGGGACAAGGCCCCCACTTCGTCGAGATAATCTTGGACATCCTCGCGTGCAGACTTGAAATTTGAGACGTAAGATTGGAGCACTGGGGCTACTTGCAGAGCTAGACCGATCAGCCCCGCCACCCCGGATGATATCGACAGGGGATCCATTTGTAAGGGATACGATGCAGGCAATCTGCAGATCAACCATGGGAAAAGGTCTGAGCTGAAGAGAAATTGAGTTAGTGTGGCTTACCCCGCACATTAGTCGGACATGCCAAGACTATCGCTCATTTGGCTTGAGATTGAACCGAGTCGGAGTATATGTACAAGCAGTCGGGATTAATATTGGGAAGGTCAACCACGGTAACGAAGGCAGATGCTATTCTTACTGGAAGGAAAAGGAAGGCGGGGTGTAGGATTCGTTCGAGGCCTGCGAGAGGTACAAATTCATGTGCTGTGTCTCGGCTTTGACATTTGCCAGTGAATCTCATATTCCATTGGATTTGCGGTACGACAAATATCGGGGTATGTTGCTCGCCATATACCCCGTTCTATCACTTGAAAAGTATGCCCTCACACTGAAAAGACCCTCTCTGCGTTTTGGCTTTCCTTGCCTGCTGTCATCTCACTTCTTCCCACTACCCATGATCAATATTCTCCGCACTGCACAGCTCTTTCCTCCAACAACACTCAACAACATCCATTCCAGCCAAGATCACCCCTTCAATCACGGCGGAGATATATTTCTCTTGCCTTCCCAGTGACACTCTGAGGGGCATTTTCAGCCACATTATGCCCCAGAACTAGAACCGATTCAAGTAGCAGTGGCGATGCCTTGAACTCCGCCTCGTGTCCGTAAGCCATCCAACCCGTACATGTCATGCCCAATATTTTGATATTTACTCCCTGACAGAAGGATTCAACGTCGTCATTTCCCACTTTGCCCTGCTCGAGATGGATTGCGCCAGCTTGGAAAGGGTCATGCACGATGACCAAACGGGAGGCTCTTCAAGGACTCTTCACACAGAAGATCTTGTGCGAAATTTCCGAGGGGCAGCTTGACTCCTGCTCTCTCCTCGTGCCCATCATGGATGAGTTGGAGGCACATGTTTCGACTCCTAGGACAAGTGCAGATCATCTCGAAGACATCATGGCTGTTACGGTCAAGAATCCCTGCCACTGTGTAATGTCGTTCTCGGGCCGTATCAGAATATGCCAGCAGTTTCTCAGTCCCAATTTGCCAGGCCCCGTGCTTCACCGTCTGAATGGGCAAGAGCTCATCATCGCCGTGTGCACTGGACACCTCGAGGTGGTACGCGCGTTAATCAGTCGCGGTTGCGATGTCAACAGTTACAATTAGCTTGGCAGATTGACATTGCTCGGTTGCTCTTGGACAAAGGAGCCAGCTCAAAATTTGGTGGCCTTGCGAGCGACCCACTAGCCGCCGCTGCAACATGGAGAGATGAGCAAACTATGAAACTCCTTTTGACATATCCAACAGTTGATGTCAACGTGAGATGCAACGTCGGCACTCCATTGTTCTGGGCCTGCCAGTCGGGAAACCTCAGTCTCGCGGGATTCTTTTTGCGTCACCCTCAGATTGACTGGCGTATTGGGAATGAGGGCGACGTGACACCTCTTGGCGCGGCTGCTGGAGGAGGATTTTGCAGATCGTCCAGTCGTTTTCCACTTGTTAGAGGACCAAGTCACCTCTGCTGATTGATTGATCCCTTGTGGAGAGCACTTGTGAAGGACGAAGTCGAGATTGTGCAGCTTATACTTGATGCACTTGGACAGTGGAACCACAATTTCATCTCCGAAAGCCTTCGAAATACGGGTCTCTCTATGCTTTGGTGACGACAAGTTGCCAATGCTTCAAGGTTGTACGCTTGCTCCTGCAGCGCAAGGATGTGGATCCCAACGGTAGGATATGTGCCATCTCATGTGCCATCTCATCACAAAGGCAAAACTCTATCACAAGCTGTGTAAATTGAAGAAGTAGAGTTTTTGCAGCCTCTCCTGCAGCGAGAAGACTTGGGCCCTAACATCTTGGATTCTAACATGCAGGAATCCGACCAGGTGACTGCTCTCCACAATGCTGTCTCACACTGCGAGATGCCGAGGGTTGATGCTCTCTTGGCAGACAGCCGTGTCGATCCCAACGCTTCAAATTTTCAAGGTGATGCTCACTCTCCCTGGCGGCCCCATCTAGCGAGGTGGACATTGTCGGAAGGTTCTCAGTCGGCCCGACGTGAGAGTAAACGATGTAGACATTACAAGCACTCTGCTGTCTCATACACCGCGGAAGAGGGATATCTGGAGGTGGTCAAGCTGTTACTCCAGCGGCCCGACGTCAATGTCAGTGTGGTCGGTGACTATGGATACACTCCTATTTTCTGGGCGTCAATCAAGGGAAAGCATCAGATCGTTCATCGATTGTTCGAGCATGTCCATGGGGAGAATTGTCTCATGTGTGCGGCAACAAAAGGTTGCTTGCTAGTGGTCGTGTTGTTGATTGAGTTCGAGGCGAATCCGGCGCTCAGAGGTGCTCGTGGGCGAACTGCATTGGAGTGGGCTGTCAGAAATAACCACGATGAGATCCGGGGTGTGCTACATGCCTACATGCTGCAGCGAGAGTCGCCGATAGAGGTGAGATCAACCCTCGAAAATGCGTGCACATCCTGGTTGTTTCCCGTGTCCAGTCCACTCTCACCTGGTCTTCACACAACTGGTAATTTGGACTATTTGCGTTCAGGTGTACCTCAAGGCCGGTTAGTTTACTCTAAATTTCTTGTCTTCCCTCTGTTGTTGTTACCTGGTGGGTGCTGCGATATCGGTGCCAAGCATGGTCACATGTGGTGAGCCCTGCAGCCTGAGGCATGCAAATCGAGGCATGCAAACCGTTGTACAGCATGATTGATTCCAGAAAAGTCCAGGTTGTCGAATGCTACGTACAGTACATGTACTGTAGTACATGGTAGTAGATTAACTGCAGTCCAAGCACACAATAACAAGGCGAATTCGCCATACCCGCCGTAGCCTGCAGCGATGGACGTGAGGTCAGTGTAAGTGCTCCGACCTCCGATCGGAGACTGACTCAAGACTGACTCAAGCCACCACCACCACCACCAGCTCCTCCTCCTGCTTCCGAGTGGTCTTATTTTTTTTTTTTTTTTTTTTCGCTTTGCCGCGTGGTTGACAAGGAAGTTCCGGCAAAGGGAGGGAAGAATGGGCTGTCTCACTTGCCTCGAACTCCACTTTTCCCATCCCACCATCCACCCCCCTCCCATTCGGCGTGAGCAAGTGAAGGTGACTTCAAGGAAAGATTATCAGATTAGATTTCCCGAATCTGGTTCCGACCAAGTTCCAACGAACCAACACCGGCCACTTCGCCATCCAGAGAATTCTGGAGAGGTGATCCAGGATCCATGGCTGGGCCGGGAAATTATCTGATCCTGTCTATCTTGCCGGGCTAATGCGAGGGGAGTCTAGTGCAGTGGGACAGGCTGGGGCTGTTCACCAATAAATTGGCTGATTGATATGGAGCGGGAGGAAGAATTTTCGGGGCCCGCCGCACGGTACCAGCTGATACCAGCTGATACATCCAGTAACCCGTGGATACCACCCATACCGTGCGTACATACCATACATACGCCCATACCAGCCGTTACATACCCTGACATACCCAGACATGCCCTGACATGCCCTAACATACCTCCAAGTGGGGACTGATTGATTATCTTGGGCTCCTCTTTGGCTCCTCTTTTTCTCTTCGGTGCCAATTCTTTACCCTTCTAGCCAAGCAGCCAAGCAGGTCCGAAATTCCTCACCTTACGTAACGGTGGTGACTTGGTCCCCTGTCAATCTTCCATTCTTCAGTAGCGGCAGCTGCTCTTTCACGGGCTCCATTTCTCTGCATCTTCTTTCCCCTCCCTCTCCTTCTCCCCTCTCCTCTCCTCTCCTCTCCTCTCCTCTCCTCTCCTCTCTACCTGTCCTCTTCTCCATCCGAAGTGTGCATGCGATCTCCCTTTGCGAGTGCAGGCAATTCCTAAGGGCGTAGCACCTGCACCGTCCCCTGCATGGCTGGCCACCTGTGAATCGCGCCTCATCTTGCCCTTTCCCCGCACGCCAACCTCCCATTCATCACCACCACCACCACCACCTCCTCCTCCTCCTCTCCGTCAACATGTTCCTCAAGAAGCTGGCGGGCTTTCCCCGTCTGCTGTTGGCCGGCAATCCCACCAAATATGAGGTCGGCACTCTCCTGACCGGCATCGTCGCCGCCATTGGCGCTGGCGTCCCCTTCCCCATTATCGGTATCATCTTCGGTGAATTGCTCGACAACTTCAACTCCATCTCCTGCGCGGAATCCAACGGCGAAAGTGACGACTCCGACCAGAGCAGCATCAACCACGAGATTCTCCTGATCGTCTACCTGGGCATCGCGCAATTCGTCCTGATCTACGTCCACCTGACCTGCTGGACCCTCTCCGGGGCTCGCCTGTCCCAGCGTCTGCGCGAGAAATACCTCCGCAACCTCATCCGCCAGGAACCCTCCTACTTCGACAAGCTCCCCCCGGGCGAAGTGGCCTCCCGACTCAGCAGTGACATCCAGACCATCCGCTCGGGCACCAGCGAGAAGGTCGGCATCGTGCTGTCCAGTATCTCCTTCTTCGTGACCGCCTACATCGTCGCCTTCATCAAGGACTGGAAGCTGGCCGCCGAGCTCCTGTCCCTGATCCCCGCCTACTTCCTCATGTCCTTCATCGGCAGCCACTACATCGAGAAATACTCCGGCTCCATGTCCGACTACGCCGCCACCGCCGCCTCCATCGCCTCCGAGGCCCTCAACAACCTGGTCGTCGTCCAGGCCTTTGGCGCCAACGTCCGGCTCGAGAAGAAGTTCGCCTCCGCGCTCAAGTCCGCCGAGACCGAGGGGCTGAAGAAGGCGACCGCCGTCGGGGTACAGGCCGGGTTCTTATACTTCATCGCCTACTCGGCCAACGGTCTGGCCTTCTGGCAGGGCGCGAAGCAGGTTGCGGCCAATGTCCGCGACGGCACCAGTGGCGTCAGCGTCGGCGCCGTCTTCACCGTCATCTTTATCCTGGTCGAAGCCACCCTCCTGCTCAGTCAGACGGCGCCCTTCCTCCATCTGTTCATCGCCGGTGTCGCATCCTACGAGAAGCTGCGCGAGGACATGGACCGCCAGCCGCAGATCGACGCCACCACCACCGAGGGCCTGCGGCTGCCCGACGGACAGGCCCAGGGCGGCTTCGAGCTCAAGGACGTGACCTTTGTCTACCCCTCGCGCCCGGAGATCACCGTGCTGGACAAGGTCAGCCTCAGCATTCCCGCCAAGAAGCACACCGCGCTGGTCGGCTTGTCCGGCAGCGGCAAGTCGACCATCGCCGGCCTAGTGACGCGGTTGTACGATCCCGTCGACGGCCAGATTCTGTTCGATGGACACGACCTGCGCGACATCAACACCCGCGATCTGCGCAGCTACCTGAGTCTCGTGCAGCAGGAGCCCTCGTTGCTCGATCGCTCGCTGCTGGAGAACATCGCCCACGGCCTAATGAACTCGAGCAACCCGGAGCATCACCGTTTCAAGGAAACGCTCCTCACCACCCAGCTGGAGGAACTCGCCGCGGAGGTGCGCGAGGGTAAGGATCTGATGGCGGCGGCGCAGAGTCGCGGCGCCGAGGTTCTGGAGGTGGTGCAGATGGTCAAGCACGCGGCCACGCTGGCCGATGCCGACACCTTCATCAGCGCCCTGCAGTATGGATACGGCACGATGGTGGGGTCGAGTGGCCGACTGATCAGCGGTGGACAGAAGCAGCGCGTCTCGTTGGCGCGTGCCCTGATCAAAGACCCTGCCGTGCTGATTCTCGACGAGGCCACCGCGTCGCTGGACTCGCGCAGTGAGCAGCGCATCCAGCGCGCCATCAACAACATCGCCAGCGGCCGCACCATGATCACCATCGCCCATCGCCTGTCGACCATCACCGGCGCCGACAACATCGTCGTCATGCACAAGGGTACGATCGTCGAGCAGGGCGACCACGCCACGCTAATGGCCCGGGGCGGCGCGTATGCCGACCTCGTCAAGCTGCAGGGCATGTCCTCGACCTCAGACAAGGACGATGCTCCCGCGGCCGACACCGCCAGCCGATCGGACCAGCCCTCGTTGACGGACGTCGAGATCGAGAACGAAAAGGCCAGCCTAGCCAACACGGATGAACCCACGGAAAAGAGCCCGGCAGTGCACGAAGGCCCGGCCTCGGACGCCAGCAACAATGCCCCCGATGCTAACGAAGAGGCGGATCCCGAAGAGCTCAACACCCCGAAGAAGTCCCTCTG